TGAAGTTTCACAATCTCTTCAACTCGTTTGTTTATGTTTCCTAGTACCCTTCGCTTAACCTTTATATTGCTCATATGGTGACTCTATGGAATGCAAGCAAATGCTACGGAAATACCTGTTATCGAAACCCTGTCTTCTATTATTAACGGTCATATCTCATAGCCGTATGACAGGACAACGAATTGCAGCGCAGTACACACTCGTCCTTTGACACATAGTCAGATGTTTCATCGTCGCTGCAGGTGAAGTAAGTTAGCAAATACCAGACGGGCCTTTTGTAACAGAGCTGTGAGATTTCGTCGGGAACCACCCTATTCCGGGCTGATATAACTCCTCAAGTAAGCGATCGATGCATTTCACCATTTCACTCCCTATCCTTAAACTAGCAGTAGTTGCGAACCAGTCTTGAAGTATCATCCTACGTTCCAAAGGTACGAAACTCATTGCAAATGATCTTAGATTCCTGCTTAAGGTGTTCAGAAGACTTTATATTCTGTCAGCATGTTCATCCAACATGAAAATGCCATCCGTTTATTCCAAGTCAACCATAAGACTATAGTCATTAATGCATCTACTGAGATGTTGGACGGAAGGTGTAATAGCTGTTGTCTCTGATGGACACCACTACTTGTCGTCAATTTAGAAGACAACTCTCCATAAACCGTAAGGTGGCTGTGTGAGTTGAAGTAGGGAGCTTTTGTTTGAGTTATATACTTGCTTGGTACTCCACTATCAGTCATCGCCAGCATACTTCTCCGTAAGACAGTCGATTGCCTACTTTAAGTCAAGAAAGGTATCTACCGCGGGTAAGGTGAAGATTTGATCGAAGCACAATCGTTCAGGTCCGAAAGCTGCCTGATTTTCTGAAATCTATTTTTTCGTAGCTCTACTTAGGCATCTGATAACTATAAACCCCGGGATCTTGGACACTGTATCATTCAACTCGATCCCCTCTATGGTTGTCACAAGAAGATTTCTCTCACTATAGAGTGTGATGATTAGCGAAGTAGACCAGTCTGACGCCACTACCACTCATTCCTATATGCTAACTAGTGCCTTCGTGAGTCCACTTAGCAATTCCTTTTCTGTTTCATGTAGCAAACCGTCCAGTCTTTCAGGTTTGAGTCATTTCATGTTTGAAACAGACCTCTCAAACTCGTGGGCATTTGGAGGATTAACATCTCATTGAGTTTCAAACTACATGTTGGGCAAGTGAAGCATTGCTGCGGGTCACTTGAACTGTGCTTTAAAATGTTCTTCCTAACGTCCCATCGTTTACAGTGATGCCTTCACTAACCATTGCCTTCTTCTTTTTGATATCCTTAGTCAGCCTAAATAATTTCCGAGTATTATATAGTGCTTATGTCTCCACTTCTTTCACTATCCACACGCACCACCACTCGTGGTCAACGCGAATATTCTCTCTCAATTTACGCCTAAATTGCTTTCGCTCTTCATTGTGGTTAGAGCCAGCTGAAATCAGGTTTCCCGCATCAATCAGTTTGGATGACGTCACGGATCTAGGTTAACAACTGTTTTTACCGCTGTTTCTATAGTAGACATAATATCACGCCAGGTTTTATCGAGATGAGAATTGCTATCATGTTCAGATAACTGCTTAGCTATCTCTTCCTTAAATGCGCGCTTGACGTTCTCATTCTCCAATCGACCACAGATAGGCTTCACTACTGTTGCTCGTTTTTTGCGACTAATAAGGTACAAACACACGAGCCCGTACTAGCACGCTATCGGAGTCTAAACAAGTACCCCAGGAAGAGACATACAGACAATAAATATTTTTTATTTATTGATTATTGTTTATGGCATTTCCTGTTTTTCTACTTGAACTGAATTGTTCAATGTCTGTTCACATATGAACTCTTTTATGGATGCTATAATTTCACCTGGAGATTATTTATGATAAATTTTGATTGACGGGTAGTTGGCAATGGAATCCAGTGTGGACATTGCATTCTACTTGGGATACATCAACAGGATAGACCTATATCTTAGTGAGCGATGTTATTCTCACTGAAACTTGAATTCATCATGGATCGCATGAGCTGAGATAGTCACCTCATATCAATTCGTATTAAATCTTCACATAACAGTAAGGTATCCGTGTAGGAGTTTACTGGAACATAACAATCAAGGGGGAATTAAAAGTATATAAAATCAATAACTGATACTCATTGCACACAAGATGAATGTGAACCTATAAACACAAATAAAATTATCATTTGACTACCTGAGATAGTCATAGTTTGACAGTCCAGTGTTTTATACTGGTTGATGGTTGAAGGTGAGATGAAAATTTTTACTGTGGTCGAATTTGAACTAAGGGCTACCAAGTTACCAACCCGTTGCTCCACCAACTCGCAGTTCAGTTGGTAGAGCACTGGGTCGGTAACCTAGTGGTCAACTGGTTTGAATCAGGCCATGGTCCAAATTTTCATTTCACCTTCAACCATCACTCAGTATCCATATAAGATTGTAAACAGTTGTTTCCTGATACAAATTTCAAACAAGCGAAAAACGTAATTAAAGCAGGATTTATCGGATTCATAAATTTCAGTAGGATTCATCAGCTTTTTACTCTATATACCATGATTTTATATGTACACTGTTGTAGAATAAATGAATAATACAGGAGACTAAGACACTGATTGAGGCATAGCAACACACAGGGAATCATTTACTCATATCAAATAGAGTTGAGAGGGGATAACCAATTGATGATGATGAATGGATGGATTACATCATTTCGACGAGAACAATTAGTGGTAGTTAAGTGGATAGCTTGATAAAGGTGCACACTAAGAGAACATAAGTGTTAGGTAAGCAAAAATACTTACTATGGTAGTAATAATACGAGTAAATGATAATAATGATAGTGATAAGAATGAGAATATGAATGTTGAAAAGATTAAAAATTACGTCATTTTGAGACAGGGTATTTTTTTTTTCCCTTGGGTTCCTTATGGAACATACGGCTTCAGTAGCACAACTCCATTACACTCTGTTCTTGACAGTCTTTTCAACCTGGCTCCACCACTGCCCAGAAGTTGCTCTCATTTCTTCCTCACACGATCTCCTCCATGTCATCCTCGGCTTAGACGACCAACTCGTCGTTTCCCATTTGGATTCCACTCGACGGGGTGGCATGGCGTGTCTCCGAATGGTTTTCTCAGTGTATGCCCAATCCATCTCCACTTTCTTCTACTGGATATTTGTTGGGTGATAGGTTCTTGCTTCGTTGCCAGCCAGCCAGCCAGAGTTCCTTCTTGCTTATCCTTATTATTCTGGCCATCTGATCTTCAGTGTCAGTATCGAGCCAGCGTAGGCGGTAGCTGTTGATGAATGTCTGTAGTTTGTTTGAAGTACTTTTCGTGACACGCCAACTTTCTGAGCCATACAGAAGCACTGACTTGACTGAATTGGTGTTGAAAATTCGGATGTTGTTCACGGTTTTTGCTGAGTGGAGAGGAGTGCAGTAGATGTCCACACTGATTTCAGACTAGCGAAAGCCTGTCTTGCTTTTTGGATCCTGGTTTTCACATTCTCGTCTGTGCCACCGCCTGTAGTTGAAACGATGCTGCCTTGCCTAGGTAGGTGAAAGAGACTACTTGCTTTAGGTTTCTCCCATTGATGGTGATTGGTGCTTGTTGTTGATGCTGTTGTTCGTTGGGTATCTTCCTCACCTCCGTCTTCTCTATATTCACTTGAAAGTAAATGAACATCAATTGAGAAGCTTGATAACAGTGTAAAACTAAAGTAGGCTAAAGGAATAGCTGGACGATAACAATGGACTATTAAACGGAGAAGTTCAAGAAGATATGATAGTACAGCAGAATGATAGTGAAAACGAAGGAATCAGGTGGGAAAGCAAGACATTAATACAAATAAAAATGAATAAACTCACAATACTTCGACACTTTTACCACGATAGATTCAAGGTGACTACTATCTCTTTCTGTACACATAGACTCAGTTTACAAACTCTAATCGCACATGCTTCCATGATTGGAAGCATTTTCTTATTCTACTGTCTGCTGACAGCTGAGAAGGCTTTAGAAGTGTCAACATCATATCGATAATCCATTAGGTGTTTTGTAATCGAACTCCGCGGAGTTTTTGATTCTGCTTGCCTTAACCAGTTAGGTAAATGGTCAATCATGTAAGTAGACCAACACTTTTCCTTACAACCTATGTATTCTTTTCCACAAGTACATTCGAACTGGTAGTATATACAGTTAGATGTGTCGAGGAATGGAGTCATACCTTTTCCTGATTGTTACAACATCCGCCTGGTACTTTTCAAAAGTACTTACTTAGCAGGAATGGAAAATTTTCTTATTTCAAATGTGTAATTGGTAATCCTTAAGATATTGACTAGAAGAGGGTTCAACTTGACCAGATTAAGACCTGGAACTAGTCAATGAAGTGGCTAACTGTTAATCTGACTCATGTTTGAAGATGTAGACTATTTAGCTGGGGTTTCTTAGACACTAGGAATAAGTAGTTGAGGAATTTTAGTAAAATGGTTGAAAATCGATTGCATTAGCCCACATGTATTCACTCTTTGACGTCTTCTAACGGTTCAATATTCTCTCATACAACTATCACATATCACTTATTCTATCCGTCTATTAGAAGTATACTACTTTGAAGTATGGAAAGTTGAATCCAAAGTTCTACATGTTAATTCTATCTTTCTGTTTGATTGCCCACGTTAATACGCTGTCTATATAAGATTTATTAACTTTTTTTTCCCAATGATTGTCTAATTATTTTTATTCAAATTGTACGCAATTAATGAAAATGTTTATGGCATGAAATTATATCATATTATTCTATAATTGATATTTTCATTGCGTAATTCAATGAAGCTGATAAAAGAAATATCAAGTTCTGACTTTGACTACCCTTTTTTTTCTCTTGTACTTCATATATGTACGATTTCGTTTCAAATAGACCTTCTTTTTTTGTTATATATCAAGACATATCCTCGTGCTTTGATCCCAATTAGTGCTCAAGCCATTCCATCTTTACATATCTGTTTGGATACAGTAATTGATGTATTCCGAATGAGTGGAGATTATTCGAAAATGGTAAGTTATTTACTTAAGCTTTTGTGTGTTTTACTGTGTTATTTTATTTTTATATATATGTATTAAAAAAGTAGCGCGGAATTTTCAATTGGTACACATTTATGTTGAGAAGTAATTTGGCAACTGCTTCAACACTACGGAATACCGCAAACCTTTATCACCGATGATCTTCCTGATTGTGGTAGACTGGATCATGCAGCAAACAACTGTGAGAAGCGAGAAGGGGGGATGCGCTAGCTGGATTGATGAAAATATCCTAGAAGGTTTGGATTTCGCCGATGACTTGTGTCTAATGTCGCAGTAATTCAAAGATCTACAGGTGGAAAAGTAACAAGTTGACAGAATAGGCAGTGAAGAAAGACGGAACTCCCTTTAGATGAATGTAGAGAAGATAGAGGCGATGATGATACTCAACCAACACCATCACCAACAACAGACTGCAATCACCATCAACGGGAGAAACTTAAACGAAATAGCATCTTTCACCCACTGTCTCAACTACAGGCGGCAAAGGCACAGACGAGGACGTCAAAGCCAGTCAGGATAGTAAAAGTAGGACAGGCTTTCTCTAATCTGGAATCAGTGTAGAGATCTTCTGCATTCAGCACAAAGCGTGAACAACATCCCGATTTTCAACACCAATTCAGTCAAGTCAGTGCTTCTATGTAGTGGTTAAGAGACTTGGCGCGTTACGAAAAGCATTTGCAACAAACTACAGACATTCATCAACAGCTGCCTACGCTCGATAGTGAGGATGAGATTGCCAGAATGATAAGAATAAGCAACAAAGAACTCTGTTCTGGGAATGAACCAACAAAGCAAGAACCTATCACCCAACAAATATGCAGTAGAAGGAAGTGAGATAGATTGGGCATACCCTGAGAAGGCCGATTGAGGACATCACGCACTCAGGCACTCAAATGGGAAACGACGAGTAGTTGGGCATGTGAGGATGATATGGAGGAGATGGTATGAGGAAGAAATGAGAGCTTCTGGCCAGTCGTGAAGCCAGATTAAAAAGACTGTAGAGAAGAGAAGAGAATGAAGATGTACTGCTGAAGCCCTATGTTCTACTAGAAACCCAAGGGACAAATAATAGCAGAAAATAATAGACAGATTTATGTTTGTTAGTTCGTGCGTAAAAGTTGGAGGTGTATGTGAATGCGTGTGTATTTATGTGGTGTTGTTGACCGTTACTAATTTGATTAATGTGTTGTCCAGTTGCTAGTTTTGATTTTCTGTTCTCTCTTCTTTCTTTTTTTTTTTTACTAGTACTTTGTTTTGAATCCCTGAATGAGTATTTCATCATAAATTGAAGCTTTTATAAAGTTAAAAATTTCTAGATAGAGAGATCATTATATCAACACTATCGTCAAGTATCATTAGCTAAATTAACCTCTTACGAGTATTCATTGTTCATTCTTAAGATTTTAAAGTCAGTGAACAATAATGTTTATTTATAGTTTGTTAATTGTGCTAATGAAACTATTTAATTAAGTGGAGGATGTTTCTATCACATTTCTCTGATCCTAATGGCAATCCCTTTTCACATAGTAATTGTTAAGTATTACTTAATAGTGAAATCTACAATGCACATTTCTTCTCATTCCTGACTTATCAACTGTCTATCTATACAGTTAGTCATATTGAGACCGTTAGATGCTTCATTTAAGTTTCAGTTAGTATGATAATATATTAGGAAGTAGAGATTATTTTAGCTAATTAATAAGATGAAATTGACATTCTGAATTACACATGTAAAAGAAGACTAGGTTACTTCAAACACCTAATCAACTTCTAACAACATTGGTTTAATTGAATTTTGAGGGAGTTGTGGAGATTTGGAAATATTTCAAGTTTTATTCATCCTAGACTGACATTAGTTGTTGGAGCAAAGGAAACCTAGGAGCACTGGAAGAAGTCGTGACCGGTGGGAGGTAAAGCCTGATGGTCGTGAAGACAGTTACTCAACGATAACATTGGGTGGTGGTTGCACTATATCGTGAGCTAACACAAGTTGGAAATATCGACCATTGGATTCTGACCCAGTGGCTAGCTCAATGGTAACATGCTGGCCACGGAATCTGAAGGTCATGGGTTCGATCCCTGGAGGGGAGGGGGTTGTGGGTGCGCACTGCTGAGGAGCCCCATACTAGGAGGAAACAGCTGGTTGTCGAGTGCTCTCAGGTTTCCTTTGTTCCTCGAAGTGATGTCAGTCTACGATGAATAACAACTTGAAACCTTGGTTCAGTTTATAGGAGAAAACTGATTGACTAATATTGGATACATTTACATTGTGCTATCAATTTATATGAGCTTGAAACCCTTATGTCAATACATCTTTCTTATCAATCATTTCTCCCTGTAAATTAACTCAGAGTTGTATGCAATTGATGAGAATTCTCCAGATAAAGCGTATTCTAATATTATTCTCTTTCCTTCAGTATATTTGCCATTTTCAAATTGTTTAAAGGTACGAATTACGTGGAAAAGTAGTTTGTCTCAGATGGATTAGGTTGGAAGAAGAATGCTTAAGGTGATCAAACTAAGACATGGCACCAGTTCATGAATTCGTGACAGGGGTGTCCAATACGAGAATTCTTGGTAATATAACTGGAAACCGGTGACAATGCCATCTTACAAAGCTTGAATATTTCCACTAATCTTTATCTTCAAGTTACGAACTTCAGGTGAACGTAAAGATAGAGGTGATGAAGGTACTTAACCAACAACAACAACAAGCACCAACCACCATCAATAGGAGAAACCTAAAGGAAGTAGTATCTCTCACCTACCTAGGCAGCATCGTTTCAAATACAGGCGGCGTAGGCACAGATGAGGACGTCAAAGCCAGGATCGGTAAGACAGAAAGACAGGTCTTCCTGCAATAATCTGAAATAATCAGTGTGGAGATCTTCTGCACTCCACTCCACTCAGCATAAACAGTGAACAACATCCTGACTTTCAACATTAATGTCCGTCAGTGCTTCACGTGATGGTTGAAAAACTTGGCGTGTTACGAAAAGCAATTCCAACGAACTGCAGACATGCATGAATAGCTGCCACCTACACTCACTCAATACTGACTGACATTAATGTTGAAGATCCGGATGTTGTTCACGCTTTATGCTGAGTGGAATGGAGTGCAGTAGATCTCCACACTCATTTTAGATTAATTAAGGCTCGTCTTTCTGTCTTACCGATCCTGGCTTTGACGTCCTCATCTGTGCCTACGCCGCCTGTATTTGAAACGATGCTGCCTAGGTAGGTGAGAGATACTACTTCCTTTAGGTTTCTCTTATTGATGGTGGTTGGTGCTTGTTGTTGTTGTTGGTTGGTTATCTTCATCACTTCTATCTTCTCTACATTCACCTGAATGAAGTCGCGTCTTCTACCAACTTGTTGGTTTTTCGCCTGTAGATCTTCTAGCTTGTGCGCGGCATTAGATATCAATCATGATTGGAAAAATCCAAACCTTCTTGTTCTATTCGTCGGTTCATCCAGCATATGCCCATCTTCTCGCTACTCACGGTTTGTTGCATGATCTAGTCGAACTGAGTCGAGTTGATCACAATCAGAGATGATAGGTGATAGTAGGCAACGTCGTCTTACTCATGTCTTCACTTCAACGACATTACTGAGCTTCCCATTGTGAATCACTTGGCATGTAGCGTCATCATATAATATTTAGCTGTTGAACGAGATTGATTAAGTTTTGCTGCATGAAAACCATGGATTTCAAGTAGCTACCAAATAACTTCTCGGTTGATGCTATCGAAGGCGTTTACAAAGTCGATGAAGTTGAGGTAGAGTTGAGCTGACTGTCATTCATTCTATGCTCTGTTCTATGATGATGCGTAGTATAGTGTCGCAATTTGATCCTCACATGATTTATTTTTCATGAGTTCATCCAGCCTGTTCCGGTCTTAGTTGTAAATCGAGAGCACGTTTCAGTCTCTCTAGGTTGATGCGGCTCAATGTTTTGCTTGTGGTGGACGGGAGTATGATTCTGCGCCAGTCACTCAAACATATTCAACATTAGCACTTTGATGTTTTAGGCTCCAATCCGTAAGAGATTATGTCAGTTGACATGACTGTAAATTATGTCGCATTACATACACCAGTTTATTAGACGATATCCTTCAATTGGTTAACAGTTTTATCATGAAAATTGGTATGTGTATGTTTTCCCTGTCACTGTTGTAATAGTCCGTGGCGGATGAAACTAACTATCTTATTATCCTATCGAAATTACGTGGAGACAAAGTTTGAAATGATGGAGAATATTTTTAGCTTAGGTGAATGATCTTAGTTGTATTGTGTTCTTTGAGCTTGGTTGTTTAGCCGTGGAGCTTTCGTCGTCTTTCTAGACAGCGATATCATCAGTGACCTGTCAATATCTCTCTATGAGTGATTCACTAACCTTACCCTGACGAACTGGTTTATGATTAGTTGTTTCCTTTGATTGTTTCATTTTGATTTATAGTCTACATCACCACCAAGTCCTCAACATCAGGCTAATGAACGCCTGTCTTGCTGTGTTTCCTATCCTGGTTCGCTTTGACGTCCTTGTCTGTGCCGCCACCACCTGTTGTTGAAACAGTCCTGCCTAGATAGGTGGAAGACACTACTTCCTTTAAGTTTCTCCCATTCATGGTGATTGGTACTTATTGTTGATGCTAATGGTGATGTTGGTTGGCTATCTTCATCACCCCTATCTTCTCTATATTCACTTGAATAGTGTCCTGTGTTCGCTGCCCTGCCTCTTCTGACAACATGTTAGTTTTCACGTGTAGATCTTCAAGTTTGTGTGACATTAGATTCAAGTCATCAACGAAATCTAAATCTTCTGGGATATTTTCCCGATCCAGCGTATCCCCCTGTTCTCGCTCCTCACAGTTGTCTGTTGCATGATCCAGTGGACCACAATCAGGAATATCATGGGTGGTAGTGGGCGGCAGCCTTGTCTTACTTCTGTGTGTTTTCACTTGAAAAGCATT